CACACGTTTTCATAAATCTTATTTTTCTATTTAAAGTTGCTTAAATTTGCTTATTTTTTTTCTTCAGAATCTCTCAAAAACTTGGAGAAACTTATTGAAGATGGATATTACTTACCAGCCTTACATTGATCCTGATTTCGAAGTACTTATTGAAAGAATACATCCACCAAGGTTTGTAATTCTAGCTTACATTAATTAATTACTTAAATACTTAAATTCTGATCATGCATGCTTCTCTTTTCTGGGTTTTTAGGGTTTGTATTGACAATGATACCTATCAACACTGCACTCTTGTCAAGGTTAGTAATCAAAATCTCAGAATCTCAACAGTTAAACAACACTTTTGAGTTCTATAGTTTCCTTTCTTTTGATACGAATTATTCTCGATAAATTTAGAGTCGACTGACCGATCCAAACTTATTAATTTGGAATTTTAATGGCTTTTTACCAGAACTTGTTAGAATCACATAACCCTACTCTACTTTTTTCAGAAAGTAGTACGGTTCTGTGTACATGCATGGTGAAATCGTTCACATTGGATTTCGAATGCTTTGAGTCACGACAACTTGGATGCCGGCTGCGTCTGTCCACTCATTCTGTTTATCTCTTTTACTTACTCGACAACCAAGTTGTCATGATTTGAGTGGTTCAGAATTCAAGCATCGTGATTTTAATAAACAAATAGTCTTGTTACGCGTGCATATATAAGACCGTATGTGAATAGATTGTAAAAAGAAGAATCCATACAATGCCCACTTCAAGAACTAATTAATCTGCCCAAATTTTGGTGACAGATTGATAGTGCAAATAAGCACGGGATGCTGCTAGAAATTGTCCAAGTTCTTACGGATTTTGACCTCGTGATTTCCAAATCATACATATCCTCTGATGGTGGTTGGTTAATGGAAGGTGAGTTAATAATTATTTTATTATAAAAAATTAGTTTGAAATTTAAATAATTTATAAAAATGCTGACGTATACACGAGTCAGTAATGATTTTTTTTTTTTACTGTATTAATGTGTGGCTGTTTTGATTACATGGTTTGCAGTATTCCACTTAACTGACCAAGAAGGGAACAAAATTACTGACGAAAGCCTCATTCAGTACATACAAGAGGTTTGTCTCTCTCTCTCTCTCTCTCAATGACAGCTTTCGTCCGTGACTCCGTCGCAACGTTTATACATAGGATTACGTATGGAAAGTATTAAAGCCGCAGTTTCCAGTAGTATCCGGGCTGTCATTTTTTGTAGCTTTTGATTTTATATTTTATTTATCTTTTTCTACGTTTGTTATAGGAAATATGCGCGATTAGGAGGGCTAAAAGGGAAAATAGATCGATTTTTGCCGAAGAGACGAGCCCAACACTGATGTCAATAGAAAACACAGCCATAGAGATGACGGGGATGGATCGACCAGGTTTAATGTCGGAGATGTCGGCTGTGTTAGCTAAGTTTGGCTGTCTCGTTTCTGCTGCCACGGTGTGGACTCATAAGGGCCGAGCAGCATGCATTATCTACTTGGAGGATGCCTCAAATGGTGAGCCAATCACGGACCAGTGTCGTGTGGCCCAGGTTCGGGCACAGTTGGAAAATGTGGTTGAAGCCCACCACTATGACAACGAGAGACGAAGTGTAAGGTTGACAGGCCCAGCAATGGGCCAAACCCACACGGAAAGGCGGCTGCACCAGTTGATGGCGGCGGATGGAGACTATGAGATGTGTTCTTCTTGTTGTTGTGGTAATGACAGCGACGATGACGATGATGTATACGGGCATGTAGACCATTACAAGAAGCAGCAGAAGGAATGTTATGGCACGCATGTGAAAATAGAGAAATGTAGAGATACGGGCTACTCGATCATTACCGTGAGGTGTCGAGATCGACCCAAGTTATTGTTCGACACCATTTGCACTCTGACCGACATGCAATACGTAGTATTCCATGCAGCCATTAGCTCCAAGGAATCTATAGCTGTTCAGGTAAAAGCACAAAATAATTTATACCTCTGCACAGATTCTGTGAGTGCGTTCTTTGTTTCTAATCTTAAAATACTGAAAATCCCAGGAATACTATATAAGGCACAAAAATGGACGCCCTTTGGATTCAGAAGATGAGAAGCAGTTGGTTACCCAGTGTTTGATCGCAGCTACAGAAAGGAGAAATTCTCATGTATGTTACAGAAACTGACATTTTTCTCCCACTTGTTTAACAAGAAAAATTTAGCAACCTTAATTCTAAATAATTGTGCAGGGATTAAGACTGGATATTTGCACAGAAAACAGGACAGGACTATTATCTGATATCACACGAGTATTACGAGAAAATGGACTATCCATAACAAGAGCTGAGATCCGTACCCACGGTGAGAGAGCAGTTGGCACATTCTATGTAAAAGATACTTCGGGACAAAATGCTGATCCAGAAAAACTTGAAACTGTGAGACGAGAAATTGGAAGCGCCGCTGTAGCGGTAAACAAATCTTTGAGCTCCCCATTCGCGAGCAACGACATCCAGAACAAGTAGGAGCAACAGCAGCGAAATACAAGAAAGGCCGAGGTTTCCCCTGGGAAGCTTGTTGTGGTCGCACCTAGATAAAATTTCGAGCAATTTCAGACCCATAAATTCTTTAAATTGTTACCTGTAAATACCGATTAGCACGTGTACTAGTTTCACATTCATCTGTAAATAATAAGAGCAAGCAGCAGCCCGTACAGAAAATGAGCACGTAAATAAAACAATAAAACAATGCTTGTGTTCATCTTCTTTGCTTTTCCCTTCAAGAAAAATTAGTACCTGAATCTGCAAAAATTATCTTATTTTGGCACCAGAAAGTATTTTGTTGAACAATATTCCAAGAAAATGTAATGTATCACTTTAAAATGATTATTCAATCAACAGAGGACTGCTCGAATTGCAAATGCACACACGAGGATTAATTCCCTAAATAGTCACTGAAGTTTGTCAAAAGTTCCCAAGAGGTCACTAAACTTCAAAACTTCTTTAAATAGTTACTGAACTTTGCAAAAAGTTCCTAGGGGTCAGTGAATTTCAAAACTTCCCTAAATAGTTACTGAATTTTGCCAAAACTTCCCTAAATAGTCACTCAATTTTACAAAAAATTTGTAGGGAGTTACTGAACCATTGATGTATGGGGCCCCAATTTGCAAAGTTCGGTGACCTCATGAGAATTTTTGGTAAAGTTCAGGACTATTTAGGAAAGTTTTAAAGTTCCTAAAAATTATTTGCAAAGTTCTGTGACTATTTAGGGAAGTTTTGAAGTTCGGTGACCTCCTGAAAAATTTTGGCAAAGTTCAATGACTATTTAGGGAATTAACTCCACGATGCGCACACAAGGCATTATCAAGTTTACATATGTTCACAAAAATATTCTTTCTTTGAATTATCGTAAGTGTACGGTTCGTTAACAAATAATAAAATGAATTTTAAGTCCAATTATGGTTCTCACAAATATTGTATTAGTTCAAGTTCGAATTAACTTAGCGTTAATCGAAACAATTAAATTTGTGATTTTTTTTATAATTTAAATAATTTACTTATGAATGTAAGACCTAAATGAACTCAAATCAATTCAATGTTATAATTAAATGCAAGTTTAATAAAAATATGATAATGAAAAACGTATTAGGATCCCGAATCTACTTATATCAATTTTCTTTAACCCGAACTTTTTTCAATTTGACAACACGATTCAATTATGCATATCAATATTCCTAATTTGTTTAACAATCTCTCTCGAGTAGAATTAAAATTATTCTTACACGTGACCCGATTATATTTTTATTACGGATGCGAACATATAAAAATGCATTAAAGATTTATATTTAAAGATCACGTAAAGTATAGCGATATATTTCTATTATCTATCGAACTCTACTACAAATGTCACTATGTTTTCCATCTTTCGAGAGTAAAACAAACCACAATATTTATACAATTAGTGATCAAGTAATTATAGAGAAAAATAAATTCATGTAGATCATTCAAGAATTAAAAACGTACTTTGAATGTCAAAAATAAATAAGATTCAAAAATCATAGGTTTATGATATAAGGTTCATCCTAATTATAGCACAAAATTATTTAGCTACTCATAATATCGGATTAAACATATAAAAGAGGAATGATAACACCAAAATTGGTCGAACGTGATTAATATCCAAATTTCTTGCACAACTTGTGGTTGAATTACTGCATAAACAAATCTGATATTATTTCTTCAGCTGCGGTCGTCTCTGCAGTGTGTATATATTTTTTTATTTTTTATTTTTCAATTTCCGTGCCTTCTTCCTCAAGTAGCCGCTGGCTTTGCATGTATATCTATTCCCCACCCCCCCGGGAATTCAGCCGCTGACTTTTCAATCCCCAAAGGAAGACCCCCATTTTTCTCTCCCTGTATGCGTGTATATATATCAACTTAAGCCACCAATGTTTTGGTACAATTGGAGTCCAAGTAATTAATGAATTTGATTCCAAATGCAAGTCACCCATTTAGATTAATTCTCATTTAATGTAATTTTCTCTTCAAGATTCCATCTTTCCTAAATAATGCAATTTAGTCCTTGAATCCATTTATTTGTGCAGCCCATGCCCTCTTCAATTTCTAAAGTATGGAATTTGATCCGATACTTTAAATCATATGGCTAATAATCCTTCTTTCTTTTCCAATTGCTTTGAAACGATCCAACACTGAAACAAAAGAAAATTAACACCCTGTTTGAGCCACACTATTCTCTCAAGAATACATTTTAAATAGTATTTTGATAGAAAATATGTCATTAAAAAATAACGAAAAATTTTGAATTTGCTTATAATATTATTTTATTGAAGAATGTGTGGTTGGAAATAAAAGAGTGAAACATATTTTAGAATAATGGGTATCAAACATGGTGTGACATAAATTAAGAACAAATCAATATTTTGACGACATAAAAACTTAGTAATATCACCCAAATAAGTGGACAAAACGCACTTCTCAACATTATCTGGATATTGCCAATATTTACAACCCTCTTCTGAATCTGTACAGCACTCTAATGAATCATTCATAGTAAGATAAAAATCCAGAGTTTACTCATTATGAGGTTTATATACAAATATACCATTTGCAAAGCTTTACTCCAAGACTCGAGAAATAACGAACTCTATTGACCATAAGAAAATAAAATGAGCATACATCGAATATTACACGATAATCACGACATATCAATTTCTTCAATGTCTAACCAGTCTGGTGAGTCTTTATCAGAATTGTAATTTGTTTTTCTGAAATTAGCAGGCACATCTCCATCATCTTCTTCAAGATCACTAAATGACACATCATCCTCGTTCTCAACTGGGATGGTGGTTCCACCTGCACCACCAATTTCAGAACTCTCTTCTTTTAACCAGTCATCACCATCATCCTCATCCTTCACTGCCAAAACATTAGAGGGATCAGAGTTCTTTTGATCCTTGACTTGCTTGACAACCTCTTCTTCAATCACCGCTTTGTCAATAATTGGGATTTCAGTGCTCTCGACTGGGTGCTTCACAATTTCAGAAGCAGCAGCTGCTGCAGTAGAAGTGCTTAATTCAAGGGCAGATGATTTTTCAAGCTTATTTTCAGAAGGTAAGGCAGATGACACATAAAGGGCGTCTTCATGACAAGAAGCGGTGGCATCTTTTGGATCAGAAGATCCTTTTCCAGGGAAGTCTCCTAGCTTTGTTGGTGTCTGGTTCTTTGACTCCTGTGCAAGCAAGGCTCTGGCTTTTATTATCTGCATATGGCATGACAGTAACGGAGGTCAACAACCTTGTTGCTCAAGGAGAAAGGTAAAACCTTACACGGAGTTCATAATTGGTTAAACGTTCAAATTACAGTACAAGTTTTAGCAGCAAGTTCGTTGACAAGCCATTTATCCTCAGGGGAAATTGTAATCAAGCCTCATCGAATCAAATATAATGGAAACCACCCCAACACTATCAGTGACTTACACGCAAATCCAAGCTGTTTGTTTAATTGGAGAGTATAGCAAATATTCTATGCCTTGACCATTAAGAGAATTAAGCCACATCAAAGATCAAAATTATTAAATGAATCAGGAAGAAAGGGGAAATGGTAAGAATATAACAAACAGAAGAATATTTGCAATGCTCTCCTTGTAGAAAGAGATGTCATTAATATTTGCAAACAGAAGATATGCAAATGGAATAATATGGAGAGAAAAATGGGGCCTAGCAAATTAATACACATCCTTGTAGAAAGATTAGAGAACAATGACTAAAGTTTGTTCTGACCCAGATGAGAAATGCTGTTGCTTAAAATTGTTCTTGGTCAGAAAAGACTTGAACCGCCCATTTTCAGTTGGGTACTAGTTAAAGGGGTATCCCTTATGAAATGACATGATAAGTACTTGCAATGAAATTACAGAATGAGGTCATTTTCACTAATGTTGCAAGCGGAATTATAAAACAATTCCTCTTTTTCATTTCATTGCATCAGCCTATACAATTCACTACCATACATGCACTCTTGCAATTCAGTTCTACAAAATGCATAAAGGAGCTTCCACCATTTTCTACACTAGGAGAGACGACTCCCCACCACCTAAAAAAATAGGTAATGCAAATAGATAAGACAATTTGGTTTGGGAGAGGGGGGGGATTAATAGGAAATGAAGCTAAAATGGGTCCCCTTATGCACTAAACACTCATGAAGTAAAGAAATTATAGGAATATTTCAGATAGATGCACATTTTAATTCAGATTCAGAAATGTACCAGATTATCATAGACAAAGCAGAAGAAATGACGATAACGTGAGCTTCATTGCTCTATACATATGTATCTACTTTTCTGGTGATACTAAAATGACAACATAACATACCAAATTCACTTGCAGAAAAGCAAAATACTTGTGATCAAAGACAATTTTCTCAGACAAAAATGTTTACCAGCTGGAAATATAAGAAGCAATGCATGCCATCATCATTTTATAACCAGCTCCACCATAGATTATCTTTTAATTGAATATGTAATATGCAAGAAGAAGAAGAGACCTGGGATGTTGATAAGATTTCAGCATCCTCTTTATCCAGTTGAGGGTGCAGGAGTACAAAATAGATCTTCCAGAAGCAACTTTCACTCATGTATCCTGGGCAAAGCTCAAACCTCAAAGCAGATAATCTTGGGGTAAGATGCTCAACAGCTAAGGCATGTTCTTGTTGGGCATCAGACATGTCAAAATCTAATGTCATGAAAAAAAGAAAATACAAATCAACGATCTGTCACAATAAATTTCCATTTCCTGAATTATAATAATTTTATAGCATATTTAATCATTCAAAATATTTTTGTAGTTCACAATAGTCTTAAGCATTCAAGTATGCTAACGACTGGTTCTCTCTACCAAAAGATGCATAACCCGCTCCACTTGAGTAAAGGATGAAGTTCAATAATTGCAAACAGTTCAGGAACACAAAGCTGCTTTTAAGCAATTTGCGTTCCATAACTAGATTGGCTAAGGTATAAATAAGAGATTCTTAGGTTAACAACATAATACTTCGATAAATATTCAATAACTGATTAAATATAACAACAAAATGAATGAAAGAGTATGGTTGCATGACAACATACCAAAGAAGCTAAACCACGATTCGATGGTCTTACTACATAAGTAAACAAGTCTTTTCATCTCAAATAAATCATAGAAGTTTCTTACTGTGTCTTTTTATTCAAAAATGTTTCAGTTAACATTTATTGATTTCTTAGTACAATGTCTAAGAAAATCCGCTTTAAATTCATTAAGCATTTATTTGAAAGATAATGTCATCATTGAATGATCATCAATTAGCTACACAATATAAGTAATCCAACTAATTATCACACAGTCAACAAGTAGATGAACACTCCTTAGTTACTAATCTTCACTTCACTACCTCCTGAAATTTCTAAATCAAAATTCAATACATATATAAAACCAGTGCCTAAAAGTGTTAAATAAAAATACAATTGTCATACCATCATCATCACCGTCATTTTCAGGCAATGGGAAATCCAACCAAGTTTTGGGATGCATCGCAATATCCCTCGCGAAAGCCACCACTTCCTCAGTCACACCAACTACTTTTTTACTCGCATAATCAAAATGCTCTGTATTACCTGTCCAAGACAAGATTTAAATGAATATATGTGCATTTCTCTAACACCTTGTGCTTGTAGATGAAATGATTATAATTGAATTCCTTCCTTACCGATTTCATCATCAGATTCCAACTGTAGGAAATTCGAAGCCATTTTGGTAATTTCAGTCACGTTGATGTTATTCGACAGCTTCGAAATTCCGCTCCTGAACCTTCCCCCGATCTCAGCTAAGTCAGTACGGATCCCCGATTTACCATCCGGATCCGGTTCCTGATCTTGTTCCGAGTTGTTCGGATCGAGCTGTGGCGGTGGGGCCAGAAATGAGGCTACACCCCAGAACTGGTTCTTGAGGGTTTTGGTCAGTTCCGAGATGTCTTCTTTGACGCCGCGCGACGGCGATGTTGGAGATGAAACATCGTTGTCTTGGAGGTGGTTTTCCTGTTCGGGCTTGATGCCGGTGATGGCGTCATCTTCGTCATCGTCGAATTTGAGCGTATTGGCGATTGATCGGGCAAACCATGACATTGTAAATTGGATCGAGTTCGGTTCCAATGAACTGTGCGGATTGGGGACGGATCGTCTTAAACCTGTGTGGTTAATATTGTCAACAATGAAAAAGCATTAGGGGATCAGGAGACTCGTTAAACGACACAGTTTAGAATATGCTGTCTGATTTTTATTTCTCACTCAGCCCCTCTATTGTTCAATTGTTTCATATAAACCCTTATATTATTCTGTTGTCTCAAATGGGTCCAAAATATTAGACGAAATTTTCAAAAGTACTTTCATAAATCCGAAGGAATAGATTAATTTAAAATTTGTGTTAGTAATTTGGACTTCTAAAGCATTTTAAAAACTTTTTCAGTGAAATTTTCGTAGACTTCAATACCTTTATTTAGCCCCTGTTTGTCTACCATTATGGGGAGGAAAATGGTGTAATGAATAGTATTTTTTGGAGAATGTGTGGTTGAAATTTAAAGTAACTTTATTGATTTATGTGTAGAATATTTTATTGGATGAATATGTGGTGGAGATTGTTTACTGTAGAAAATAATTTTTGGGAAAATGGTAGACAAACAGGGGCTTAAAGACTTTTAGAGTGTGTTTGGTAGGGATTTTTGGGAGAAGAATTGATTTTTGAATAGTGATATGATGAGAAATGTGTGATTGAAAAAGAAGGAAAAAGTATTGATGTGATTGAAAATATTATTTTATTGAAAAATGTGTAGTTGAAAATGAGAATTGATTTACTGTAGAAAATTAAAATCTGTACCAAACAGGCTCTTAATGTAATACCACAAATCTAGGTACCTTAGACTTATAAATATTATCATTTAATTGTATCTTAAAATTATAAATATGAGAAAGTAGTTAGATTTTTCTTTCACTTAATAAACGTTAATGACTTTTATTTATATTAATTAAAATTGTCAAAAACTTTTGTACATGATAATTAAATTAAATGTTAACTTTGTTTTAAAATGGACATTTAAATGTGTTGGTATTAAATCTGTCTCATCAAAAACAGTCGTCTCGAATCGTCTTATCTTCATCATCTAAAAAATGGGGACGGATAACATGGAATGTACTAAACCCCAGTAAGTAAATCCTATACAAATTTATTATATGCATTTAAATAATTTTGCATCATCTCAACAATAGGAGCGGGATAACATAGATGAACTAAAGCCTAGTGAGTAAACCCTATCCAAGATATGCATGTTTATAATATGCCTTTATTTACACAAATTTCCTTAGATTAAATTACTTGTAAGTACAAAGTGAATACCTTGATGACTCCCCCTTTATGTGTCAAAAATTTGGCAATTGATTAAAAATTAAGTTGTCAAAATTAATGTATCAAAATTTGTCAACTTACATAAGTATAAACCATTGTGTCAACATTTATATATATGTAGCATGATCCAATTGGCTTTTCAAAATCAATCATGATACATGTACATCTTTGTTGACATTGTTGTGAGGTGCCAACTTTTTACACATTGATTTTAACAATACCTTAAACAATCGATAACACAAATTTTAACAATACATGAAGTGTCAAATTTAAGAGTAATGTTATTCATCCCCACTGGGGATGAAAACACAGTTTACGTAGCGTCAATGTGGCATTAAATGATAGGTGAAATTAAATAAGTTATTTAATTTCACATTTCATTTAACATATTATATAAAACCACATAAACTGTGTTTTCATCTCCATTGGGGATGAATAACATTACTCCAAATTTAATGTACACTAAATGTGTACAACTAGTTTAATCATTTCAAAATAGTACTCTTTCCTTCCCAATTATATAGGTTGAGTTTCATTTTTCTCTTGTCCCAAATATATAGGCTTGGTTCCTAATGTAGAATATTTTGTCACGTACTTTTATTAATCTACCCTTATTAAATTTTCCCCACTTAATATGCAAACTTCTTGAAAATTCAAATTCTTTATTAATTCCAACAATAATTTAGTTTTACATACTGAAAATTAAATATGGGTAAATTAGGAAAGATTTTGGTAAATATTAATTTTCCAATGACATTAGATAAGCTTTCTTGATCCGTGTGAAAAACTAAACAAGTATATATAATTGGAACGGAGGGAGTATCACTTACTTTTATTATTTCTTTAAAACACTAATATTTCAAAATATTATCACTTAATCTATCGGTAGTATTTCAAAGTGATTCACATTCAACATATTATTAGTCAGTTGCGTCGGTCTCCCACGCCTTCTTTTCTACTTATACATTTCATGGTATAAACATACAATTCATAAATATTCTGAATAAACATTTTTTTGAAGAATATTCTTTTTCGCATTATCATTTAAAAACTTTTTATTTCTTGAAACATAAGCTCATGTTTATGAATATATTGATGTACCTAAATATGATATGAAATAAATTGATGTCACATAAAGTAATAATAGAACATATTGTTCAAATAATAACTATTTGCATAAAATAGTTACACCATAACATTGTAACAAACAGAGATTTATTTACCTTATGTTCTTAACAATTTGTTTTTTAGAGGATGTTTTGTGGGGATTAAAAATTAAATTTTTAGTAGAATGTGATAGAAGTTTTTCGAATATGTAGTTGAAAAGTTGTGTGACCCATGAAATATGTGATTAAATATTGATTGTTTGATTTTGACTTTGAATTAAAATCAGATTTTAATCCGGATAAAACAAGGCTAAAAATGCAAATAAAGATGTCTCTAGTTGTCGATAACGTGCCATAGTCATATATCATTTTCATTTATTTAGAAACTTAAACATACTCATTATTCATTTTTAATATAAAGTAGTCATGAATGATTCAATCATGTGTAGCTTCAAACTTCATAAAAATAGTAAGCAATAAAATCATAATTAAATCATATAATGGTATCATTAAGCCCCTTGTTTGATAGGGATTATAAACAAACTTGTACCAAATTTTGATAAAAATTGATGAAATAGATGGTCAAAAAGTTGTTGGTTTCATGAAATGTGTGATTAATATAATTGATGATTTTGACTTTGATAAAAATTTAAATTTTAATACCATAATTAAACTTAATAAGCTTGTCGATTATCTAGGATTTGCAAGGTATATTTCACCACAATACACAATTAATCAAATATAAAAATTGTTATACCTGCGTCATCGAGGCTTCAAGAATAGACCACGTGGCCTGCACCCCTCATCACTAACCTACCTGGACTATTTAAGAACTAGACAGTCAAAATGATGCACTCCGGAACTCCCATATAGAGGTTGAACCCTCCGCGATTTAGGTAAGGCGATATAATGATATGACCTCTTGCAGTACCAACTCAAAGCAAGTAAGGTTCAAGCACATGGATTCACCTCCCCTAAAAGTCCTCCGCATGAGATCTTCTACGATTGATTGATGTGACATCTCTACAACATACGTCCTATCAAGTTAACTTGTCAATCCGCTTTTCATATGTCCAACAGCCTACTTGTAATATGTCATATCTAGATCGTAGGGTGGCTAGTTTTCGAAATCATTTAATACTCATTAACTTATGATTGGTGGAATGATGCCTATGACAATGTGTCTCGATCGTCAAGATAAGATCACGTGTTTCTTTTTTCACCTCTTCTATTATAAAAGCTCGCATTTGGTGTCATTTGAAAGTAATACAATTCTACATATTCATACTAATATTGCTCCCATATTGTTTTCTCTTATTTCCCCGGTACTTGTACACTAACGTGGCCCACGTCTTTCACCCATTTCACATCCAAATATATCCATACAATATGATTGACTTGATCATCGAAGAGTTTGCGATCACCTCCCCCACCTCCGGAGAATGCCAGTGCTACATGCTTCTAATGATTTATCCAAGTGTGCGGGAAATATATCACATGGACATGAGTGGAGCTGAGAACTGTTGGTCATATCATCCGTGCAGAAATTGAGGTCAATGGAAATAATTATTAAATATACACTGAATAAAGCATTAGGACAATCATAAATACATATCACTTGAAGCATATGCGGCATTACTATTTCTCGCCTCCTAAACATAAATTTCTTCCTTGAAATTAAATTTTACCAAATAGATATGGATACTTAGTGCTATCTTATCCTCATGCTCCGTAGTTATTGTGGGATAAAAATATTGGAGAATCAAAATATAGATTAATCAAACCGAAGGCCCGTGTTCACACGGTTTCTTTAAATCGAATTCGCCGCCTCACCGGAGTGCAAGAGGTTTTGATCGGTGTTCGATTCCCAGGATACAATCGGTTGTCGGTTCCTGCTGCACTACGATACCAACCTACGAACTAGCTGTGATTCACTCTCAACGAATTTAAGCAAAGGAAGAGGAAAAAAAAAACCACAGGCTGCTGAAATGGAAAAGGAGGAAGCTGTTTTTTTTTTTTTTTTCTTTTTTTTGTGTTTCGTGTTTGGCGTGTTTCTCTTCCAACTATAAGCTCCTCTATATATACTAGTGGAGGGAGAGCTGCACATAAATATATCAGTTACAGCATTGATGAACTTCAAACGGATGGCTGATTTTTATTGAAACTGAAAACTGATGCACTGATGAAATTTAATTCCATGAAACTGAAGATTGGTGAATTAATTTTCATTCATTAATTCATTATTTTCCAACAATCCCCCACATGAATGAAAATTTGAAAACGAAGACTAATGAGAGAGTAGAACGAATCAATCCTGCATAAGATAGGTAGCATCTAACTTTGAACATTCCCTTGTGAAAATCTATCGAGTATTACTAGCAAACCAGTGGATCTGATGCCTTGAACTGTTTCGCCATTTGTGTAAACTAAGACAATAGACCTCACACGGGACCATTCTAGACACAGCGTAGTTCTCAATGTTGTGTTCGTTTTGGCCATGAACACATTGCCTGGTTCTGCAAGTGTTTGTTCAAGGATGTAGCCTTCCCAATCCTTATAGAAGCGGCCCCACTTCACACTCACATAGGTGACCTCTTAACTCAGCGTTTCACAACAACGCT